CTAGAGAAGAGCTGTGCCTTTTTGGACCAGCTGCTCCAAGCCAGGCAGAATACTGTAAGGTATCTCAAATACAGATGCAGATGCATACATTTAGGCAACTGGATCAAGCCCTGCGCCCCTAAAGAAGGCCTGTTTTTTTTTATGCTCAAGTGTTAACAGGTAAGTGAAATTCCCCGTAAGGGACAGCGGAAGAATGGAGGGTTTAACTAGAACACTAAAGTTTATATCAGAAGAGGTTTTTTTTTTTTTTTTCCATTCCGGTGTGATGCTACTGACTTCTCTGAAAGCAAGTGGAGCCCAGTCTGTTTTAGTACAGGACGTATCTCTCTGCTGTGCTTCTGCCCTCATCCATCCCATTGCAGGGTGCCATAGCAGCAAGGCCTTAGTGTTTCAGCTGTCCAGAAACACAGCAGCAACAGAGAGCAAAAGCTCTGGGGACTGAGATCCCATTGGAAACCTTTTGGATCCCTGGGCTTCCTAACCCAGAATAAGACTTTATTAACTTTGCAACATTCAAAAGAAGAGAAAATGAAACCCTAAGCAGCTATTCCTTATTTGAAATCTATATTTGTTAGTCATCTTTGAAGAAGAAAATGGAGGAAAAAAATCAAATTTTTTCTGGACCCAGTTCTGATTTCCACATTCTTTGCATCAGTAAAACCTCCGTAGCCTCCAATGCATTCATTTCAACTTATTAGCAAGTTAGTGTTAGCAAGGTGGGAGCCAGGACTTCTGATGGCCTGGGATGAATAGTTTCTTTACACCCGCTACAGTCTTTGTTATCAAAACTGGTAAAAGCTCACCACAACCAGAAGCTCCCAACTGGATTTTAGTTACTTTAACAACGTTGTTGTTCCAAATTTCCCATTCAGTGTTCCTCTCCCCCACCCTGCCCCTGCTACTGGGACAGTCCCAGCTGGCCCGTGCATGTATCTTAGGATAGTCACTTCTGTCTCAGTATGGCTGCCTCACTTCAGCTCACTGGACTGACGGGCTGGGGTTTCTCATCTACATGTAAGAAGCAAGGCCTCCAACTTTATCTACAACACAGGTGAACAACCCCACGGGCTCGTGGTGCTGTCACCTAATATGATTGTGTCTGTGTGCAAACACGCATACATTTCATACAGCAATCTGAAACTATCAGGCAGAAAAGACACAGGAGCCTGGCTGAGACCCATACATCTGTTATATTGGCGTCAGTCTAAAGAAAGCAATGATACATTGCTTTGGAAATTATCAAGAAATGTAAAAAATGCATTTGCCCTTTTTTTGTTGTTGTTGTTGTTGTCATCGTTGTCATAGTCATCGGGGGGCAGGGTTCTGAGTCAGAAAACAAAGCAGAAACAGATGCGATTCTGTACATGGCGCCTCTCTGGCTGTCTCTCCGCCCTGGGGTACAGTGGGCAGGGTAATAAAACAGGTCGGAGCCCTGCAGCAGCAGCAGCATCTACACCATCATCATTCATATGTCCAGCTGAAGAGGCAGATGATGCAGAAAGGTCTGTGGATAATGAAACTCCAGCTCTGGATCACGAGTTCCACTTTTTTCCCCGTCACATCAGCCACACAGAATAAGGAAGAAAAACGAAATGCACCTGGTGTGGCTGGCCCAGTACTGCCTGGAATAATGAGCAGGAGTGATAAAGGGAGGAGGTTTGTTGTTTTATAAGAAACGTCTTTCATCTGCAGTGTACTTTTAGCAAGTTAGAGATGCTCAGTGACGAACAGCGCAGCTTGTTCTCCCCGTTTTTTTTTTTCCTTACACGCCACTCCTCAGCCATCAGTTCCTTTAAAGTTTCCATCCACAGCACAGTGATTGTACCCACCATCCGCTCCCCCAAACACAAGGGAAGGAAGGACACTCCAGGCACTAAACCTGCCCCTGCCTTCCCACCGTCCCCCAGACACTACCTCACCTAAAGGAGGCAGTAGCTCTTTGCTCAGGCCTGTCACAATGTGCACATTGGAAGTACCACCAGAAAAAAAAAAAAAAAAAGCCCCCCTCCCCAGAAAGAGGACTTTGCACAGCTGGCAGCAGCAATTGCTAAATTTAGCATCCGCTCTGCAAATTGTGAAGTTCATCTGCATCCTCTGCTAGCTACATGTTTTTCACTCTGCAGGACCTATGACAGCTTTCAGCAGAGAACAGGGATTTCCCTGCCTGCTGTAGGCTCTGACCCCTGAGGGAGTCATAGTTTTCACAGGGAATATATGGGGGATAATCTTTTCCACCATTTTCCTTTCCCTCAGAAAAAAAAATCCTAAAAGGTGACATGCACCATCAAGCACCCAAAACTCCCACTGCTTCCACTAGTCTAGATCAGTACTTTGCTTCTTGGGAGAACACCTCCATCTCCTACTGGGAGAGTCAGATGAACTTTCTAGTGAGAGGAAATGAGACAGGGAACCCTTAAACTGATTTTGGTTTCAGAAGCAGCCAGCCAGGCACAGCATTATTTCCTTTCAAGTAGGTCTGGAGCACTACAGCACTGGGAACAGCAAACTCCCAAAGGGACAAGCACTTGCAGGCCCACCTCAAGACAGGCACAGCGGAGGGAAAGGACAGGAATGACTGACATCAGGGGGTAACTTTCTCCAGGGGAGTCTTGAAGTAGGACTTTGAGGCCAGATGGTTAAGTGGATTCACATGTCTCTGGTTTAAAAGGCTTTGTTTGCAAGACGTCTTGAGCTGCTATGGGCCACTGAAAAAAGTTCACTGTCAAAAATACTCTTTGCTATTTTTGCTTTAGGGCCCCAGCAGAACCAGGAAATAAAACAAGCGCATTACAAAAATAATGTAATCAACATATACAATAAAGGATTTCTCAGACATCTGCAAAAGTTCAAGATTTGAATGAAGGTTTAGTTCTGAGTCAGATCACACTTCCAAACTCAGCACTGATCTGCAAGTTTGTGAACCATCACTTGAAAACAGAGAAAAACCAGCAGTAGTCTAGACAAAAATCAGTTGCATAAAATCTACAATATCTCCCTGTTTTTTCAGCCTCTTTCACTGGCTAGGGCCAATGACCAGTGTGAGGAAAATCAAGAGAGGTTCACATTCACAAGTAGGGAAATATGGCTGGGATATGCTGTGCCATTAGGTGGTTTGTATCTTAGACTCACCATCTGACCCACCAAGACCTGGGAAGAGGGATGAGAGCCTGCATAGGAACACGAAAGTATGGATGAAATCACTTAACACCTGCATCTTGACCTGCAAGCCATACTGCAGCAATTTTCCAAAGCAACTATGCAGAGCTCCTTCCTTCACTCACCCTGGGCTCTCAGTCCAGGTCAGAGTTAAGTAATTTTACTTTGCTGATGATTCTGCCTCTTGCATTTGCTCCTCCCAGGATCCTCTTATTATTGATCAGGTTTAGCTATTTAATACAAGAGATTTGAAAGCAGATTTTTTTCCCTGCTCCCTGAATTGCTGGTGCCAGCTGAATACCGAGAATGGATCTGCCAAATCGGTTTGGGGGTCTTGCCACCCTCTAGTGAGAAGAGACTTTTAGAGAAACTGAGCAAAAGGGAAGAGAACAAAGCCTGAATAAAACGCCCCAGTCTCGGGAAGAAAGATTCTGTACCAATAAAGGCATCGTGCATGTTTAACGGGAGTGAGGAAAAAGGAAAATGAACACAAGATATGCAAAATCAGTAACGTTCAACCTGTCAGTGGCTTGCAGAATAGTTACTTACACCAGATACACTTTGCTCATCGTACAAATTAAAAAAGAAAAAAAAAACCTGTACCCCTTTCCCCAACCACACGTAGAAAAGCACTTAAAAGTTCAAAGGTAAAGCTTGGCACATTCCAAATACGAAATGATTCACTTGACATGCAGCAAAATATACAAGAAGTGATTCTTTTTTTCTTTTTCTTTTAAACAAACGTAATTCAATTCATTATATGGCACAATTGCAATTCATTTTAAAAAAATATTTGAAAAATACTGAAACTGACCTGAATTCAAGTATAACGGTTTCTTCAACAGAAACATTATCAATGCAATAAAACATCACACAGAATATATTGAAGCGTAACGCCTTCTGTTTTTTGTTTTCCCCCACCCCCATAATTTTTTTTCTATACAGTTTTAATGCCAGCACAACTTACAATTGTATTTTTAAAATTAATATTATTGCATTGTTTTTGCATATCTTGTGGAACAGAAAATGCAAAGAGTTACTGATTCCCCTTTCAAAAGCAGAGACAGTGGTTTGTTTTTGCATTCAAACGGCCCCAGGTACAGATCTCTGCAGTTCAAACCAGGATGTGGAGAACTGCATGCACTTACACATACACGCGCACGCGCACACTCGCTCGGTATTGCTCCCACACTCACAGGTATACTTAGCACTAAAAAGAACCCAAATCAATCACTCAAATGTGCAAGACTATATCAAGTGCATTGCCTACTATCTTTAAATTATAAAACAACAACAAAAAAAGGAGGTTTCAATTACTAGCAAATAAAATTACAAATTCTTGGTGTACATAATGTTTGGTAAAACTCGTCTATCATTGTACTTCTACCAAATTTCAATGGAGAAAAAAACCCAGTTTAAATAATACAACATGATCAAACCAATTTAACATTTGCAAAGGTGAAAATAAACCAAAACAAAAAGGTAGGTGATTACAGAACTTTGTAAACACTCCCTTCTCCCTCCAAAAAAACCAAAATAAAATAGTCAAAATAAAAACTGCAACATGCTTTCAAGAAAATATCAAACCGTAAAACAAGGAGAGATCTACACAAGCCCATCACCACCTCAGCAAGTACAGGGCAGGTCAGCTCAGCCCCGCCACAGAGCCTGCTGCCCACTCTCCCACTGGCTGGCACGGCTGGCTGTCTGAGCTCTGGTTGGCTGGCAAGTGGCTGCCTGAGCTCCGACTGGCTGGCAAGTGACTGCCCGAGCTCGGATTGGCTGGCAGGAGTGACTGCCAGAGCTCTGATTGGTTGGCAGAGACTGCTGCCTGGGAGTCTCCATTGCGGTACTGGAATCCACAGCAGAAGAAGTCCTCCTCTCCCTCCGAATCAAAGGGCCTTGGCTTTATGGAGACGGTGAGGCTCATACAGAATATGTGCAAAATGATTTTTACAAGCAAAGTTGAAAGACACCCGTTTGACACAGGGTCCTTTTGGCTAGGGCCATCCACAGGAAGCTGAGGTTCCCCTTCGCACTCCGGAGGCAGTCGTCGTTCCTTGTGCAGGGACTGAAAAAAAGAGGGAGCTGGCTCTCCTCCTCTTCCTTCTCCTCCTCACTCTTCCTTCATGGACACGTGCTGGGGTTATATCCGCTCCTGAAAAGCTTTCTTACACCACCCAACTCTGCGACTCGTCCCAACAGAAATGAATGAAGAACGCTGTTCCGGTTACTCCAGGTCACGAGAACAGTGAGGCACTTCTGAAACAAACCCATTAGGAACATTGAAACAAATAAAAAACCAGCATCGCTTCCAGCCCTGGCAACTACAGGCTGCTGATATAAATCCTGCTGTCCTTGAGCTCCTCCTGACTTTTTCTACAATCCGGGTTCTGCACCTCTTCCTCTTCCTCTCCTGCACTGTCCTGCCCTGGGTCCCTGCAGTTAACAAAAGGCAAGAGGTTGCCATTGGGGCTCTGCTTGCTGTTACCATTGAGAATGTTGTCTGCTGCATTTTCCATCTCTTCTATCGTCATGTCACAGGCGTCTGCGAGCTCCTGGGTTGTGACCTCAATGAACTTTGGATCTTGAGCAAACTGCATCAGTCCTTCCGAAATCAAGACCTTCAAAAGTAGGTAGGGAACCAAAGACAAAGACAAACATAAGTACTCTGCATCATCAATCCTATGGCACCCCTATTGCAACCCTCTTTGCTGCTATGTAGTCCCTAACAATATTCCTTCCCCTCCCATTCATGCTGCTAACCCCTCCTTGGAAATGGGCTTTCCCACTCCTGGCATTGCGGGCAGCTAAAATATATCTGTTGCCCTGCTTTTTTGAGCGCCACATTTCAAGGGGTCCTTGACACTGCTCATGTCCTCGGTGACTCTGCAGTCTTACCGCTTCGACCAGGCTGCCAGCGCTGCCGTGAAACTGCCTGTTGCTCCCTCCGGTCTGACTGGGGACGGTGAGGGAGACCGGCCTGGCTCTCCTTGGGCTGCTGCAGCCACTGTTGTCAGGGTACCGAGAGCTGCAGTGTATTGACGGGAAGCTGCTGTTGAGTTTCTCGCTGGACTCTGCTCCATCAAGGCGCAGAGTTGGGATGGTCTGTTGTGGCCAGCCACGGCTGCAGGGTGTTGCAGGGGGTGTAGCACACAGCCGGGAGAACGTGGTGGGGGAATGGCTTCGCTGGAGTAGGGGACTGAGGCCTGCCACTGCCAACGCCTGAGGACAGAGAAGGAACAAGGTGAGTTAGCAGCTGGGCTAGCATGAGGTGGTGGAGAAACTACCTAAGACAGGCTTGGAGGGTGTTGAGCTTTGTGAAAATAGCTGACAGCTCCTGGAATGGTATGAATGTATCCTGTGACAGCGTTTTGGAAGCTTTCCTTTAAATGACGTATCCTGCTCTGCTGCCAAGCACCAGATCGAAAACTTTCAAGACTGCGGTTCTTCAGCCTTGGACCCCCTACTCACAGGAGTGATGCAAACCTGCTCCCCACAGCCACCGCCCATACCGCTAGCTTTTACTGCCAATTACTGTGTTTTCTGTCAGTATGTACTATAGAACCCGAAGGGATACCATATGTGAATCTTAGATGTGTCTGCAGTTGGCAATAACTGTAAATGCACCACTGGATTTTAAAACATCAGCTGCTGATGGGAGGATCACTATCTGACGAATATACTTTGAGCCACCCAGTCCCTTCTGTAGTCACATGTATAACCCCTGAGTCATCAATCTCCTTCTATAACATAAACTTCTCAAGAAACCCTCCTTTGCACAGGGCTGATCTGATGCCTTACTCATGGTGACCAGTGCCTTGTTCAAGAGCAATGCCATCAAAGTCAATAGCTTACCTCACAGAGCTCAATACTGCCTAATATGAGTAAAGAAATAAATGTTGACCCATAGAAAATACAAAAGAATGTGCATTTGTGTTTCGGAGAATCCTCTCATTAGGGATGAGGTTAGTCTCACCCAATTTGAGCTATCTAAAAGCTATGTGTTTAGTGTAAACTCAATGTCTAGAGAGACACCAAGTGGCATCCTGCCTGATTTACATACCTGCCTGAAGATGCCCTCTGGAGGACGAGACTTAGTCTAAGATGATTTCAGCATGCTATGCTGATGATTTTACAGTGACAGATGAACAAAAGAATCAATTATTGGGTCAATTAGCCCAACAACATTCACCAAGAATTAGATGTCAGATTCCTATCGATTTTCAGTGAGGAAAAAGGCACTTAAAATTCTTCTGCACCAGTCATGTCCTGCAGGCTATGACGGCCTCAGCAATTTGCTTAAACGGACCAGACTTCAGGGAGAGCCCTGGATTTGTTAGGAAGAACAACTGAACCAGTTTTTCAGTAGAAACACATACAAAGTACTTTATCCAATATGTAAGGGGATGAGGAAGTTGAAAGAAGCTCTGAGGGGTTGCTTCATGCTTCAACTGTATATATTTACATACCCATATGAGTATTTCATGAGAACACCTCTTCAAGCATTCGTAAGCAACAGAATCTACTGCACTTAGCAGAGGCAGCCTTTCCTGTTCATATTCTTGTTTAAAGCATCTTGTAGGCTAAAATCTTTGTAGACAGAATAACACTGCTGACTGTTCCCAGCCAGAGGCCAAAAGCCTATTTCAGGATAATCCTGTAGGCTGGCAGAGTGATGCTGGAGTGGGTAGAGCCCTGTTCCTCAAGGCTTGGAGCTGCATGGTGGGATGTGGAAGGGTGAGGTAGGCCCATCCTCTTCATACAGATTTCTGCCTTTGGAGGGAGGTGATTCTACCAGCTTGCTGGCTGAGACAGTGGGAAGCATGTTTTCTGTTTGCTTGGCTTGCTGTGGGAGGGCAGAAAGCCTCAGGAGGGCTATTACTGCTGCGGGGAGGGCGGGAAGCTGTTCACTGCCCACCCTCCCCTGCCCCTGACTCAATATTTTTGCTGGTTGTCTCTGCCACAGCAGAAACTCTCTGCGGATGACTGCTTTATGAAGCTCTATCCTTAAAGGGTAACTGGTTGCTGCTGCCATGAACAGAGGTGAGAAAAAGACAGGGAGTCCAAGGTGCGTTCATCTCTCTCTCCTCTTACTGCTACGACTTCTTCCTCCTCCTATTGCAGGTGTGTGGCACTTTCAGCCCAAGGAGGTGGGAAGGCAATTCTGCTCTGCCTAGGGGATTGCATGGAGCAGGGTGCCCTGCATTGCAGGGCTGGCACTACTGTCTGCACCTGTTTCTTTCATGGTGATAGGTACTGGGGCACGTCAAGCTTGAAGACAAAAAATCTACTTTCCGCATTGACAGCTGGCTAATCATTTAGATACGTGCCTAAGCATATATTTGCTAGGCTGCTGAATGCAGTTATAAAGAGCTTAAGAAGCTGATTAATTACATGTAATCAGTTTATTTTTTAAAATGATTAATTACAGTTACTGGTTACCTTTAATTAATATGGAAGTAGACCTTGCACATTTTACTCATATGAGTACTATCATCAAAGCCGGTGTAATTGCACTGCAGTGTGCAATTTGGGTAGTTATTTTTATCTTGACATTTTAGCTAGGTTTTTATTCTTCCCTTTCAAGGACATCAGATAATGATAACTCTGCTAACTCCGGAGGATATGTTCCTGGAGCATTCTTCTGGGAATGATAAAATC